TAAAAGATGTGGGTATACTGGAATGCCCTTTTGACCTGAATTCTTGTGATATGCCCCTGTCAGGCCAGGGTGCAAATTTGCAATCTACTCCTCTCCGTTGGGGCCTGGGCCTGCACCCTGTTTTGCACGGTTTGCCCTCCCTAAGTGGCGGAGAACTTTACAGAATACCCAGGCCCTAGGAGTGGCCATCTAGGACTCTGAATTCAAACTTTCGAATGAGTGCACCACACTGCAAGTCACTGGAGGTTGCTGTATTATTGAATCTATATTTTTTACTTATGTTCGCGTTCGATGATAGAACCTGAACGAGCACCCAAACCCTCCAAACACAAACATAAAAAAAAAAAGTTCTCAGAAAAATCTGAAATTATGTTACAAACAACTTCTTGGGAGGTATGTTCAAATTCGTAACCAAACTCGAGTTAAAAATATCTAATATATATATCGTCAAACATATATGACCATATATATATATATTTTATAAAATCATTAAAACAGATATGTTCGACCGAACACGTTCGGGAGGCGTTCGGCCCAACATCCGAACATGTTCGGGCATTCGGGAAAGCCCGGAACATGTTCACTATGTCACAGATGAATATAATGGTTGCATATTTAAATATACAACTATTCAGGGTTACCTGACCGAACGTTCGGGGGCCCCCGGGCTGGCCCCCGAACGTTCGGGCGTTCGGGGTCCCGTTCGGGGGCCGAACACCTCCAGGTTCGGCCCCCGCCAAAAAAAATTTCGGGGCCTAAAAATACGTTTTTTTTTCTGATTTTTTTTTTTGTGAGTTCTCTATGATGTAGCATACATGCCTATAAATTTTGAAGCCATTCTGCTAAGCCAAAAAAACATTAAAAATCGTCAAAGATGGGGCTGTCAAAACGTGCTCGCCCACTCACTGTCTTTTTTTTTTTCACTTTTAACTTTTTGTTTTCACTTGATTTCGGGGCTTAAAAAAAAATATTATTTTTTGAAAACTTTTGAATGAGTTATTGATTATGTAAACTACATATCTGTAAATTTTCAGGGCATTTGTCAATGCCAAAAAAAAATAAAAATCGGCAAAGATGGCGGTGTCGAAAAGGTGCTGGCACACTCACTCATTTTAATTCTC